TGGAGGGGATCCCCATTACCTATAAAGCGCTTTAAGTGGAGTGTCCAGAAAAGTGCTATATAAGTGTAAGGAGACCATGCAACTCCACACAGACAGCCCTGCAGCACAGAATCGAACCCAGGACCTAAGGTTTCCACACAATTACAAGAATCCAAAGCGAAGAAAAGACACACCTGCAACCAAATAGATGTCACTAATGGTGTCACGCGCTGTTGCACAACACCGAAACAGACCCCTGTTGTTTCACATGGAAACACTGGGAAGTCTAAGAGTGTAGCCTGGCAGCTGGAAAAACACCTGAGTGTCGGGCTCCTCGTCTTGGAGCGGGTATTTGACAGGTGACTGTGTTGGAGGTGCCGGAGACAGTCCAGGTCCCCCTGCCACGCACCTGTAGGAACTGCCCCAGGGCAGAGCCCTCAGCAGCATCCTCACGCAAAGCGCTGTCTGCTGGTTGTGGCTACACCTCGGCGCCTCTCTCCAGCAGAGAGAGCACCGCCTGCAAAGTGCATCGCTATCTGATATTATTCCTGCCTGAGCAGTTCCATAACAGCGCGTGGTAGATTGTCAGCGAAAAATTCCTTTCATAGAGTTTAAGGGCGTCTTACACTGCTTTTAAAGATTGTATTCATCTTCTTCTCTAATGAAAGAGCATATACGCACACATCTGTGTTTTTTTTTTCAAAATCCAGACTCTAGGATAAACCAATGTGCAGACAGAAAGTCATATATTGACAGTATACGTGACTGGGAAAAAATTACAAAAGGCAATTGCAATCTTTTCTTCTTCCACGTCAGCTTCAGGTTGTCATGGAGTTGTTTTGAACAAGGAATTCCCTAGACCACCACTCTGTAGTGAATAACAGGCTTTATAGAGGTAGTGCAGGTAAACTCTCACTCCCTGTCATCCCCACCCTACAAACTGACGTCGCACACTTGAATTCACGGAGTGCCTAGCCCAGAATAAATCTGGAGGGGAAGAAAAACGTGTCCAGCTGGAAATTGTGAAGCAGTGGCTGTGCTTGACCAGTAGTAACGGTCTCAAGGCAGAAAGCGTCGAGGGAAATGGAAACCGGTGGTTCAGCTGCAGCCGTGAGGACTCGTGCTCACCCTCGTCATGAGCTAAAGCCCCTCACCTCTGCCAGGCCCCTCCGGCTGGCCGCGGCGAGCGCAGAGCAGCCGGCACCGGTGTCGGTGTCAGCCGGGTCAGCGCCAGCCGGCCTGCGGCACCCACCTCCCGGGACGGCCTGTAGGACCCGCTGTGCCACTCGCGCCTTTTCCAAGACGGGTTCGCGTCCAGCCCGCTCGGGAAGAAGAGAGACACGGGCGCACACTGAACACGGCCAGCCCCCTGTGCACGCTGGCAGCGCTCTGATTAGGCATCGTCAGAGACAAGAGCCCGGACACTGTCATACGACTGTTTTCATGTAACTGCTCAGCCACGGAGGGTAGACATCCCATGAGCTTGATGGAGGAATAGTTTGTGCAGATCAATGATTTCATCAAGCACGGATAAACTGCAGTAGGACCAAGCCAGAGAAATCAAGATCAAATAGGGACATAAACTAATGATATCTAAAATTTTAGTAAATTTTTAATAATTGATACTTTCATTCAATAATTCAAGTACTGCATTGACTGTAGAGTTGTCTTTTTCAAACAATTGTTCCCAGTAACTGGGAGTTTACAAGGACTGGGAACTGACAGCCCATGACCAGATACAAATGCTCACTTCCTTCAGAGCAGGGAAGTGTTTCCAGAGAGAGAATTGAGAAACGATGACCACAGAGACTTTCACGATTCCCAAACCTTGTCTTGTGGATCCCCACACCAGCTGAGATCTTAACTGAATCCCCGGAAGCTGCTTGATCATTACCGTTGCAAGTTTTTTATCTATTCAAATGCTTGAGATTTTAAGTTACATCTCAGTTACAGTCTCTAACATGTCTAACAGCTGAAGACCAATTAAAGAGTTCAAATTAAAACTATGATTAGATCTTTTAAGAGTTTGATTATTTAACGGAGTTCTCGGCTGAAACACAATCCAGCAGGACTGGGTATGAAGACCCCTGTGCTAATGAGCAACCTTATCCCCAGGATGAACTACCCTAAAGTCAGAACAGCTATCTGCATAGAGTTCCGCCCCCTACAGCAATGTCTGGACAGCCATCCTTAATTAAACACAAGTCAGCTTATCATTTAATATATATAAAGCTGAAACGTTACGCGTCGGAAAATTCCTGTAATTAAGTTAGAGGAACAATGTTCTTTAAAACACTATAGATGACTAAACACTTGTTGGCTTTGCAAATGTGATACATAAAGGTTCACTTACCTCTTGTGCGCTGGAGACTTCTACTTTCATATCAGCAAGCGGCAAATCCC